CAGTTATTCATTGACACACATCCATCCCGGTGCTGGTAGGTCCGGTTGTAGCCTCAGCTGCCCCGGGGCAGACTGGCAGAGGCCTGGCTGCCATCCTGCCCTCCGACCACCACCTCAACAATCCATCCATACGCGTCCACACCAGGCAGGGGGAGAAGTGTCTTGCCCAAGGACACAACGATCATTGACCGACCCGCTGTACCACCAGAACCACGGCCGCCCCGGGTGTTATCACACCTAAACCTCACAGTGAAACTGTGCAGGCCTTTTCAGACGTACCTCATCGTTGCTCATATGTGTTAGCTGATGGACTGCAGAAGTTAAAGAAGCACTGTGGAAAAGATGTTTTCCTACTTTATCATTCATGTTAAATCTATAAAGTTAGCATGTTTGTGCACATTGATGAATCTCTGCAGACGGGTGAAGCATCAGAAAGAAAACGGATCGCTGAAGATCTCACTAGTGATAAGGGATGTGTGGAGTTCAACAGATCTTAACGAGTTTTAGCTGAATCCTAAATAGAGCAAGATACAGAAGCGACTCTGCAGTGACGTTTAGACTGCTAAATGCACAGTGAATCTTTCTTACCTCCTCTGATTGGTCACTGACGATCCACACCTCACATGGTTAAGATTCAGGCTACACATCACATCACACGCTCACTGGCGTATCGCTTTCTGGGCTTTTTACACCAACAGATGGATCAGTACAGTGGTACAGCTGTTGAATATGCGCTACAGCCTCATAGGCATGTGCAGGTGGGATCATTTGGGTCAAACTTTCGAGCCACAAAGGAAACATGAATCTATTAGGAAGTGGATCAAGACTCCTGTTCAGGCAGGTTTAAGCCTCGTCCACACGAATACTGATGTTTTTCTAAACTGGTATCTTCCCCTGTTTTCATAATGCAACATCTGTCCACATGACCATCATTTTACAAAGTATTCCCACACTCCCAAGAACCCAGAACCGACTGCAACCACTGTGATAATCAGGGCTTGAAAACCTCAGTGATGTAAACTGGGATGCAGATGTCCTGGTGAGTGGTGCAGAACTGCCAGATGAAGTTGTAAAGCTGTATTTGCTGCACAGAGGAACTGGTGCGTGCTGTATATCTGCTGCTGTCGTGGTTGTTGCTGATTCAGGTACAAACTTACTGCACAAAGAAACCACGGCCTGAAACGTGACGTCATTTCTTCGGAGACAGAGATGCACATAAACTCCACGTTTTAAAGGGAAAAATCCTGAATGTTTAAATCGGCGTCTGCGTGTGGAGGAGAGACCTCAACCTAAAAGAAAATGTTAATTTTGCACTAAAATATCCGCATCAGTGTTCAAGAGAACTTGCAGTAGTTTTGTTGCCGCCTCAGTTTGACAGACAGCTGTCACACGAGCCCAAACAAACAGAGATGAGGCTTTGTTTGAACTGAAACAGACTGAGTGTGATGTGTGGTCTGCAGACATAGAAACGTCTACGTCAGACCATATGAGAGCTTTACATTTCTAGCTTTTACAGAAAATGATGAGTGACAGTATATGCTGCGCTTCAGCGGTCAAGACAGATGAGAGGACAGGAAACGAGACGCTCTCAAACACAGAGACTGTGGTGGACGCGTTATTTAAAAAGTCTATGAAAAGATGAATAAAGGGAAAGAAAGCAGGATTGTTTCATGACCGTATCAGAGGTTAGGGTCAGAAACGGGAGTCAGTCAGTGTGTGCTGGAGTTGGTTTGAGCCCTGTAGATGATGAGAGGCGAGCCTGGCTCCTCTGTCGTTCACCGATGGACCTACTGGATGCTGCACCGGCGACTCCGCCCGTCACATGGCTGGGTGGTAATCTGCTGCTCTGCCAAATGGCTAAACTCAGGTCATTCCTCTGTCATTGTGCTGCTGATTGCTTCGCGTGCTGTTAGTTTGTTGAGCATGTGGAAGATAGATCATGCCTTCAGCTATTGTAGTTTCAGCCTGAGTGCTCTAATTATAACGTCTGGCTAAAAGTAGAGCGAGGTGGAGAACAGCACTCATCCTGACGGACACTCTGCTGTTCCACTGGTTTAAAATAAGTACATATTGGATTCTCCACAATGTAAAGCTCAGTGCGATATTGTTCCAGCGATAGAGTCAGGATGGTGTAGCATAGATTATCTGTCTTCAGAGCGATTGGGTTGCATTGATGTTGAGCTGTGTTATGCATCTGGTTTTGCACTCTCAGCGATATGTGGAGCCTCAGCAGGTCACATTTATGGAAACGGCTTGAAAGCGTAGATTGTGGTGACGTGTTGTTGTAGAGTGTGTAGGTTTGGTTTCCTGCATGTGAAGCTGACTCAGAGCTGACGGAGCTGCAGGCAGTTACTGACAGAAGGCTGAGCTGTGTCCTGTGGTGTTGTAGGGCTGGAGGATCTAACGGATCATCACGGTTAGATGTTTACGTTCAGCTGATGTTAATAATTACTGATAGTTATCGATAGAGTTCAGCCCTTTTATCGAGGTGCACATGTAATCGTTTTAATGTGAAGACGGCATCGAAAAACACACAAGTAAAGACATTTACACACATAAGTTAAAATAAATAAGAATAAAAGAATCACCTCACCCTGGTACACACTGAATAAGTAAATCCTAAAGTGGCAAAGGAGGCAGCCAAGTGAGGCGGCATCACGTCAGCTGTCACCTCACCCTGCCAGGTGGAGGTGGTGGGAGCACAGGGCTAACCCCGCCCCGGTCAGACTCGCCCTCCCCGGGAGCCCTGCACAGCGGCCACAGGGGCAAAGGGGCTTTGTTGTGAGGGGAAGGCCAGGCTGCTACAACCCAGGGAGGGAGCGCATTGGAGGCTGGTTATGCAAACAAACTTCACATCTTTACTATGTGCTGTCATCTCATGCATTTAAGTGTAACGAGCAAACACTCTAGCAAAACTATTTCTCATTGCTAATGTTTTATCACCCAGACCTGCTACGAGGTGTCAGGAAGGTTCCAGGACTGGTGTCACTAAAGAAAGATTTCAAACCCAAACTGCCAACCAGGAGTTTCTCCTTCAGACCATCAACCAGCTCGTCCACAGAGGTCCTGCAGCGTTTGCTTCGTCCAGAAGATGCAGAGTTGTGTCAGGACCAGTGGAGGCTGCGTCACCATGACAACCTGCTCACAGCGCCCTGAGCATCCCACAGCTCCTGCTGAGAAGAACATCTCCTCCCTACTCACCCCACCTGGCTCCATGGGGTTGGTTCCTCCTCCCCAAGCTCAAGGGCTCATCAAGGAGACCCGTTTAGAAGACGTGGACGACATCAAGATGGCTGTGAGGACGGAGCTGAGAGGATCCTGAAGAATCCTTCCAGGAGTGCATGGAGGAGTGAAGAGAAGGCTGGAGGAGGGTGGTAGACTCCAGGAGGGTTACTGGGAAGGAGAACACTGGTAGTTTGGGTTTGTTATGTCTTTAGTGACACCAGTCCTGGAACTTTTCTGACCCACCTCGTGCTGTGTTTAGAGAAAGCAAAGGGAGAAGTTGTACTTTAGGTTTGGATTCCCAGATATGTTTCTGAGTTTTATACCTTCTAACATGTTCCCATCACGCTGGCTGGTGTTCTGTCATTACAGCTTCAGGTGTTGCTGTTTCAGCAGCAGGCTGCACTGTTTGTGTTCAGTTTGCCGCTTGTCTCCTCATTGGGCTTTTATCTGGAGCATCAGTGGTATTGCTGTCATCAGGACAGCGAGGACGTGGTTTCCTTGGTTCGCTCCTGAGTGTGTGTTTCATAGAGGGCTTGGTGTGCTGATAAAGCAGTGCAAAGGTCGGCCTGTGTCCCGGCACTATTAACGTGAACGAGAGTGATCACGGTCCGTGTAAATGCTGGGAAAAGAAATCAATCATAGAAAAAGAGCAAAGCAGAGATCAGCTGCTGCTGGTTGAGTCCAAGCTGAGGGCTCAGGTTTTCCATAAACACAGAATGATGGGTCTGATTTACATTGAACAAAGGCACACGATCACTCAGAAATCATCCTGGAACAGGCCTATGTGCAGATACAGGACCGGTTTGTGTAACCTTTGAAGGGAATGGCTCCGGGACAAAGACAGTATTTATATTAAACGATGCTGGCTGAATAAAATCCACAAAACAATCTCAGTGAATAAATGTGACTTCACGATCGGCGCCACATGGTTAATCCTCTGCTTTCTTTAAATCTTCTGATGGGAACCAGAGCTGGACACTTGGCATCTTATTGACTCGACATTTGTAATCATATGACGCCAAACAGCTTCTTTCTTTTCTTAAGACGCTGGCTCCTCTTGGGTTCTGTCGGGTACTGAGAGCCGGTTTATCTGCTCAGATCCACTGCCCCTGAAGGAACCACACCACAGCTGCATGACAACAGCCTCCTTTTAGGCCTTCTGCAGCTAAAAACAAACCCACACCACATAGAATACCTTAGTCCGAGCCCAGCTGCCGTGAAGTGTTCAGAAAGGTTTCCTATTTCCGTCCGTCATTGTGTTTTTTTGTGGGTGAGCATTTGCAGCTCTTAAACTGCCGATTAAATCTAAATGTCAGTCATCCCCTTGAACGTCAGCCCACATTGCAGTTTGATGGCATTAAAGCAGAGTTGGACCTCCGGCCTCAGCAGCGCCGCGCTGTGTCTGTGGCTGCAGGTGGATCTACACGCTGCAGGTGAAGGCTTCTCACCTGTTCCAGAAGCTCTCCTCTGTTCCCTCCTCCACCACTCTTGTTCTTTTCTCTCTTCATCTGTTCTAATCATCCTCTCCAACCTGTTCCTCTCTACTTTTCATCCTCCGTCCCGGTTCTTCCTTTTTCTGCGACGTCTCATGGTTCTACATTTAAATCCGTCACACATGCAAAGTCGTATTAGCGTCACTGTTAAACAGTCTGTTTGCTCATCGCCGCGCTGGGACGCTCCTGTTTGTTGTCACACTCATAATTAATGTGGTGATTCATGTTACAGGCGTCTTCAGAGTGACTCTAACCTCCTCCTCCCTCCTGTGCTCCCTGCAGGCGGATGCCAAGATGGTGTGCGATGTGGTCAGTCGTATGGAGGACACGGAGCCTTACTCCGCCGAGCTGCTTTCCGCCATGATGCGTCTGTGGTCCGACTCGGGCATCCAGGAGTGCTTCAGCCGCGCCCGAGAGTACCAGCTCAACGACTCAGCGCAGTAGTACGTCCTCATTCAGGTCCCTGTGTGTGTGTCAGGGCTGGGCGGGGGGCCTACAGCTGGACCCACCTTCAGCTGTGTTGGTATAAACTCCTTATTGCTAGTCCTCCACTGAAAGCTTTCTTCATATGAACAAGTCTGCATTGGGACACATTGCAGCTTTAATGTGGAATAAAAAAGAATAAATTAGCCACAAGTTGTCACATTAGAAAGATGTGAACCTAAAAAAAAGAATGAAGCTAATATGGTGGTAGAATGGGAGCAGCTGTTTGACCAACCACGTGAAGCTGGTGAGGACGGGTCACTGCTGAACCCAAAAGCCCCTTCTGGGATCAATAGAGTCCATAACATTCAAATAAAAGCTCTTGGGGTGGTTGCAGCAGCTCTGCATGTGCACGGACATGAGCCCGAGTCATCTGCAGGTCTTCAGGATGGAGTTTTACAAATGAGTTTGAAAGCAATCACGTCCCTAAACATGTGGCAGACGCATCACAGAGGACAGAACCTGTGTCGGTTAAACCTGTCGATGACGTCCCTGCAGCCCCAGAAGCGCTCTCACCTCCTAACCAGGGTTCATGGTGTGAACACAGAGCTGGTGGTGGGTCCTCTGGACGGTCCTGCTCACCGCTGGCTCCGTAACATGCAGTTGTTTAATCTCCACAAGGTGGATGGACGCTTCCTCACAATATTGATTTATTGATTTCAGTTATCGATGCCCAGCTCTGTGTGTGTGTGTGTGTGTGTGTGTGTGTGTGTGTGTGTGTGTGTGTGTGTGTGTGTGTGTGTNGTGTGTCTGTGTGTGTGTGTCTGTGTGTCTGTGTGTGTGTGTCTGTGTGTGTGTGTGTGTCTGTGTGTGTGTGTCTGTGTGTGTGTGTGTGTGTGTGTGTGTGTGTGTGTGTGTGTGTGTGTGTGTGTGTACACAGCAGGGTGTTTGGGTTAGGGGCTCCAGTCACTGACTCGACACAATATACATACATATATACATATATATATAGATGTATATATAGATATAGATATAGATATAAAACATGTAACGCGTGTGTGTGTATATAAACACACACGCGTTAAGCCTGGATCAGTGCATGACTCATAGTAACCCCTAACCTTAGACTGACTGTATTATTGCCAGAGGGACATCCAGGCCTTAACCATAACCAACCCAACATTTAAGAAAACACACACACACACACACACACACACACACGTGCGCGCGCTACTGTTTATTTCTAATCTTTTAAATGCAGTCATGCAGCAGCTACTACAACACGCAGTCGGCTGTGATTTATGCTGAGTGGCTGCAGTGGGTGGACGGAGAAGCAGCAAGAAGAAGGAGGCATTTCCCTCAAGTGCCATGTTTGTGCATGTTGCTGCTGTTTAATTGTGCGTCGTACATCCAGTCGAATCAGAGTGACATAGAGGGAAATGAAAGCAGAGCGACGGCGCCATCAGTCCGTGTTGCTGTGCGCCTCCTATGGGCGCCGTGCTGACCGCTGAATCGTGTTAAACATCAGACTGATGTTGGCGGCTGATGTGAAAACGGAGCTTTTCAGAAACTATCACCTGCGTCGCCGGCTCGTTTTCATCTGGGCCAGTCAGACGTTCTTTGGCCTTTTGGGTTCTCCTGCGCTGCCAGGCTCCGCCCACCGTTTGGGTGAAGTAGTGCTGACATCAGAGCAGGATGTGTCAGAACCCCCAAACACGTGACAGGATGAGCGCTGATGCTGCCAATCAGGGAAACAGCTGATGAGTGTAAACTCAGAGCTCATCCTGAATGAGTGCTGCTGAGCTGCTGCTGCTGCGTGTCTCCTCTGGTCCGACGCTGATGTGGCTGCTCAGCAAATCAAATCAGACACTGATGTTGAATCAACCATCGACGCTGCACAGAGAACTGTCATCTTCTG